AATTCCTTTTATGATTCAGTACTACTCTGAAACTCAAATCAGAAAAGACTCAATTGAAAAAAAGAAAATTATAGGTCAATATTTTTGATGAAACAAAGACACAAAGTTTCTCAATAAAATATGTGTTTACTGGTTTGCTCCTTATGGCTTGCCCAGCTTGCTCTTGTTTATGCACCAGGACAACCTGCCTGTGGACAGCACTACCCACAGTGGTTTGGCCCTTCCACACCAATCATTAAGTCAAGAAAATTCCCACAGCCTTGCCTACAGGGCAATCTGAGGGTGACACGTCCTTAATTGAGGTTCCCTCTTCTCAGGGAACTCCAGCTCATGTGAGGTTGACAAATGGATGAAAGAACTGGTAAATACATAAAGACGTCATTAGAAACAATTTAATTCAAACAATGGTCAGAGAAAAAGAAAAACTGGAGAAAGAGAACTGGGAGAGCCAGAGGAGCCTACAGACAGCAGCAAGGGCTGCAACATCACATCACCTGAGTCCCAGAGCAGAGGAGGGAGACAAGCTACCACTGGACAGCTGCAGGCTGCAGCAGTAACATGTGAGGGCAGGTGGTGCAATCGAGGTGAACAGAAAGGAGAAACTGCCCTGGTGCCACAGGGCACAGAGAGCACAGCTGAAAGAACCCAGCATGGATTCTGGAGAAAATTTCCTGTAAATTTGGCATGTCCTCTGCTGGACCACAAGCATATACAAAACCCTACAGTTCATTTTCTGCTTAAAGGTGAATGTCTGACCACTTTCCCTGAGATTAGGGGCACAAAAACAGATTTCTATTCAGCCTTTTATGGAAATTATAGTCAGTGATTGGGAAAGAAGAAATAAAACTACCTATTCAGAGGCAATATAATCATCCTTGTTCAAATCTTTTTGAGACACACACACACACACACAGACACACACACACAGACACACACACACACAGACACACACACACAGACACACACATACACACAGACACACACACACACAGACACACACAGACACACACACACACACACAGACACACACACACAGACACACACACACCCCCCTCTATACATCCTCGAAGAAATATTTGCTCTTTTCCTTCTGTTCTCCAATCCAGCCTCCACCCCCCCCACCCCACCCCCAAGTCTTATTCCCAGGTTTGCAGCAGAACACCAGCTGCAGACTACCCTGTGTGGATCCCACAGCTCTCTCCTTCTAACCTCCCTCCCCCTACTCATCGCTTTGCCCACCCCCCAACCCCAGCAGGTACCCACTGCTAACCCTGCTTCTCTCAGGGCAACAAGTAGGCTGAAGGCTGACGCGCACACCGCATTTACTGCCCCTGAGATCCATTCCTCTCAGTCTCATTCCCAGCTCTGTAGCAGGAAACCTGCTGTGGTCTCCCTTTCCTTTCTGACCCAAGGGATCACAAAGACTTTCTCCTTCAACCGTCCTCCCCTAACTCATCCCAGTATCCCAGTCTCCAACACCAGCAGGGCAAGAAAGGAGGCAACACACAGCCATCACATTTTTAAAAACTCAGAAAGGAAACAGAAACCAAGGAATAAAACGCTCACCCAACAAAGTCAAATCCAGCAACAAAGTCAGAAACCAGCACCTAGACTTATAATCATCCTAAACCCAAATGCCTAGAAGCTAGCATAAAAACATAATCAACAACAGCCAGGGCACTGTGTTCTCAGTAGAGTCCAGCTATCCACAGCAGGGCTTGAGTATCACAACATAGCTGAAGCACAAGAAAAAGACCTTAAAACCAACTATACGAAGTTGACAGAGGTCCTTAAAGAGGAAATGGGAAAAAATCCCTTAAAGAAATCCAGGAAAAGACAAATAAATGATTAGAGAAAATGAATAAATCCCTTAAAGAAATCCAAGAAAGCAGAGAGTTGAAGGAAATGAAGAAAACCATTCAAGACCTGCAAATGAAAATAGAAGCAATAAAGAAAACGCAAACTGAGGGAATTCTGGAAATAAATTTAGGAATTCAAACAGGGGCTTGACCCACAGAACACAAGAGATGGAAGAGGGACTCTCAGGTGTTGACAATATGATTCAATAAATGGATACTCAGGTCAAAGAAAATGTTAAATCTAAAAAGCTCCTGACATGAAATACCCAGGAAATCTGGGGCACTATTAAAAACACCAAACCTAGAACTAGTAGTTATAGAGGAAAGAGAAGAATCCCAGCTCAAAGGCCCAGAAAATACTTTCAACAAAATTACAGAAGAAAACTTCCTTAACCTAAAGAGGAAGATACATACAAGAAGCATATAGCACAGCAAATAGATTGGATCAGAAAAGGAAGTTCCCTCAGCATATAATAATCAAAACACTAAACGTACAGAACAAAGAAAGATTAAAATATTAAAAATCTGTAAGGGAAAAAGACAAAAGGTCCTTTGTAGATATATTATAGCTTTTATCTTAGTGTTTTATGGAATCCCTAAGTACGAGAACGAGTGGGTTTCTGATTCTTGTGCCTGCTCTTGGGACTCTTTCATTTTGTTTGGTTGCCTTGTCTAAGCCTCAATGTGATGGTTTTTGCTTTATCTTATATTTTATTTAATCATGTTTGGTTGTTATCTCTTAGAAACGTGTTCTTTTCTAATAACAGTCAGATAGGGAGTGGATCTTAGAAGCCTGTTCTTTTCTAATGACAAACAGAAATAGGGTGGATGTGGAGGGGAGGGGAGGTGGAGAGGAACTGGTCCATGTGAGGATTCTGTGAGTAGAAAATACTCTCATAGTTTTCTCCATCCTATCTCACCTCTAGATTATTACTTGCAGGCTGCTTCCCTGCAGACAGTGCTCCTTCTGAGATTAGCTAAACTGGCCCCCTTGACCCAGTTATACACAATAAACCCTGCCTCTTGTTTACCTACATTACAATCACTCTGCCTCTCTGTTTTAACTATAAAGAAAAAATGTATTGAGCATCCAGGGTGCTGAGGTTTCTCCAGCAGAGAGTTCAGACCACCCCAGGGCAGCTTTCTCTCTCATTTTTCTTTATTCCCTTGATGCCGAGGCAAGTCAGTTGAGGACTAGCACTGGAGTAGGCGTGGTGTGAAATGCTAGTTCTAAAAGATCAAATAGCAGCAGTCTGTGATCCCAACAGCTCTCTGTAAACAGACAAGCCAGCTGTGTGGACAGTGCTGTGGATGGAACTGGCTGGGGACTAGTCTTTGGAGGTGGGACAGCAGTCTGTGTCTGAGAGGGATACTCACAGGGTCCAACTACATGCTAAAATACATAGAATAGCACAGAAAATCCAGTTTTTACGTATCTTAATTTTTTTTTTTAAAAAAGAAGAAAACCAGAAAAGGGATAATAGTGCTTAGACTCTGTGAGAGGAAACAAAGGACATGAGATGAAGACACTGGCTGTGGCAGCATGAGCCATCTGCACAGATTCTGGGGCACCTTCTCCTGGACACCATCATCCTGCAAAGGTGAGATGGGGTCAACTTACATAAAAAAAATCCTCCCCCCAAACCTCTAAGGATAAAGGAGTAAAATCAATCACTATTCTCATGTGATCGGCAGTGGAGTCTGGCGTGGACCAGCTCTATAGCACCCTCCTGCCCAACCTGCTCATTTCTAGGCTGCTTCTTCCAGCAGTAACCTGAGCAGCTGGGACCTATAGGAGACTGATTTCACATGATATGGAGACAGGGCAGCCAGGATCACATTTTTTTTTTACTCACAAACATTGCTAAAATCTTGAGATGGGCTAAAATTATGTGAGGCTGAGGGGACTTTCAGACCCTGGATGGTGGTTTGAATAGGTATGGCCCCCATAGACTCACATGTTTGAATGCTTGGCCCATAGCAAGTGACACTGTTAGGAAGTGTGGCCTTGTAGTAGGTGTGGTCATAGTGGAGGAATTACGTCACTGTGGTGGCAGGCTTTGAGGTCTCCTATGCTTAAGCTATGCCAGTGTGGCACATAGTCTCCTGCTGTCGGCATATCAAGATGTAGAAGTCTCAGCTCCCTCTACAGCACTGTATCTGCCTATGATGATCATGGACTGAACCTCTGAAACTGTAAGCCTGCTCCAATTAAACATTTTCCTTTTAAGTTTCCTTGGTCATAGTGTCTCTTCCCAGCAATAAAACCCCAAGACACCATGCGTTAAGGATTTCCTTGGTACTCCAACAAGAACTTTCAACTTTCAGTGGCTACCTCTGTTCATAAAGATGCCTCATAATTTAGTTTTCTCTAAATGACCATGAGAATCACTGTGAATTACAATGCTTGATGGCTCCAAGTCCACAAACTATAATGCATGCATCCAAGACACATTAGTCTTGGAAAAACAAAAACAAAAGCAAAACCCCCAAAACCAAAAAGCCCTTCCTCCGCATGCTGAGAAGTCCTGAGTGGTCATGGCCAGCTTTTTATTTTCCTTGTTTCAACAGCATTATAACTCAGAAGGAAGAACCGAGGTTAATTCCAGTCTGATGAGTATGGCTGAACAGGGTCGAAGAAATCCCATGTACACCAGACACAAGTTTTCCATGTCACAAGAGCTCTACTTCAAAAGCCTAAAGGTTCATTTTGATTTCCTGGCTACTAGACAGTTCTTTCAATGATAACTTTGGCCTAAGATATTTGTGTCTCAGCTAAGACAAAGATATGAAGAGACAGTTTCCATGGGAACCATATCCTTGAATGTTCTAGAATTTCTACTTCATTGAGTATATTGTCCTTAAAAAATGATCATTGTAGTTACAATTATTCTCTTGAGGCATTCGCTGACACTATTTTCTCTGTATGCACATAACAGCTGGTAATCTATGTCCCACCCCAAATAATGGCAAGCAAAGTAAATTCCATCCCTAATATTAACACTTAATTTTACTTCAAAAATAGCCAAACGCTGTCCAAGTGATACCCTTGTCAGACAATGAGGACCTTCTTATCTTCTGTGCCTGTTGAAAGATGTCCAAGCCTGAATGGGTAGTTTGGGGACAATGAGGTCTACATACCTTCCAGCAGGTCTCTGGCCAGACCAGGTTCTGCCCCCGTGGACCGAACAAAGTCTGACAGGACTGCGTCCATATCAAGCGTCATAGGATCATGTAGAAGTGCTGCCCAGCACTCAGCCGAGGGCGGGTTTGGAAGCAGGCTAGAGACCATCCATCTAAAGGAAACAAGAGAAGGGTATCTCACCATGCAATGGACCAGAGGGATGTGTAGGGACACACACACACACACACACACACTTCATAGGCCTAGTAGGCAGAAGAAATCCCTATCACCTTTGTTGTCCAGTTCTAAATTGGATTTTGAATAATTCTCTTCCTTTACACACAAGATGTTACATCATTAAAGTCAAACCACAGCATCAGTCCTCTGCAGCACTGTGAGATGGGGCTCTGGGATCGGACTGTCCTGTCTTACAGTATGTGGAAGGCTAATTTCTTGGCTATTATAAGAGACTCTGGGTTCAGTCCTGGCTGACTGGAATTCCATACTTATTCATGACGACTGCTAAAATGTCTGCTGCCTCCTGGAGTCTTCACACTCACAGTGTCAACACCACTGTATTCACAGGATGTCGGATGTTCAAAGCAGAACAGCTGCAGGCAGGGGGGGGTGGGGCAACATGGGTGCTTGAAGCAGCTGGAGAAAGCAGTTCTGGGGTGTGTGTCACCTGGAGGAAGCAGCTTGTGTTCCCAGTGAGAGCTGATAAAGTACAGATGTCTCTGGCATCACGTAGGTGATGGGCCAAATGTAGCCCTCTGTTTTTATAGATAAAGTTTTATTGGAAGTCAGCCACAAGCACATGAATGAGTCGAGTATCAGAGACTGTAAATCCTCGGAATTACGGTTATCACTATGTGGAACTTATGGGAGGTTCACCGATGCCAGGACAGATGGAGCACAGTTTTCTACTACCAAGCTTGTGGTTATTTTTACACACTACGTAGTGTTATTGACGAATACCTTTTGCTCCTTTTCCTTTAATAACGGAGTGGGACTTTTCAGGGAGCAGGTTTTGCATCTTTGGAGCCAGGTATACTGGCTGTATGTGGCTGGCTATGACAGGGTGGGTGTTCCCTGCTGTGAGAAGGGACGATGCAAACTCCTTTGCCCAGGATGTGGGGATTGAGGTCTCAGGCAGGAGGTCAGAATCTCAGAGTCAGCCATATCTACCGTTTTATCTGCATGTGGCTCCTAGTTAGGAGTACAGTTTGGTTGGCGTGGCTAAAAGTGAAAAAATGGTTTGACCTGATGTATGTGGCACCAGTTAGGAGACTCCTTCTTCCTTCGCCTCATGCACCGCAGCTTCAGCCGCAACGGTCTCTTCTTCTGTCACTGTCACCTGGGGATAAATGAGAGCGTGAGAGCATGGTATCTCCTCTCCCGTGCTCTGTTCTTTGTCAAAGGGAGCTGCATTTAAGGTGAGGCCAGTCGCTACCACAGGCACTTTGTGGCCAGCTGATCACTAGCTCCCACAAGTGGGTGCTGGCAGTAAAGAACGGTCTCGACTTCCTTTTGGCAAGCACTTGGGATCACGTTCACAAGATAGAACCATTGTATACCCTGCTAGTGATTTCTGGATCAACATACTTAATCTGGGCTACCATTTTAGCCATGTAGTTCAGTGACATTGGCTGCAGCAATTCACTTTCGTCTCCAGAACATTTCATTTTCCTAAATGGAAACAGGCCCCACTAAACACCAGTTCCTCATTACTACTTCTCTCAGAACACGGCAACTTCCACTTTACTGCCTCCTTCCATGAATGGAACTGGTTACTCCTATAAGTAAACTCTCATAGTATTTGGCTTTTTGTGATTAGTATAAGTTCATCAAAGTTCATGTAAGTCCACTATGAACTTCAGATCTAAATCTTGGAGAACTAAGATGTATATGACCTCAAAGCCGCCTCCTTGAGGATTATTTTTCATAATAAGATGAAAATGCAAGGGAGGAATGCAAGCAATAGCAGTACCCAGTTGTGATGCCTGTGAACCACAACTACCACCAGCATATTATGATATCCTTAAGGTACAATAACGGGACTTATATTTTAGTGGTAGCCAACAGCTATGTAATTGGATCTCAATTATATAAGGCTATCTCAATAAGAGGGAACTATTGCCTGTTACTGTAGACCTAGATGACTAACCAGGCTGCTTAGGCCACAGAATATAGAGGGGAACTTACTACTGCCAGTTTCTACTTTCTCAAACAGGTATAGTCTCTAATCGCTTAATACTTACACTTACCCGCAGATAAGTGTAGCTTTCAGCTCTCATCAAAGAAGCTTCTCTTTGCAGCAGATGGAGACCACTATAGACATTAGCAACTGTACCAAATGCAGAGAATAACTGACTACAATGTGCCCAGTCTCAGTGAATATATTTCCAACAGAATGATGAACTACCTTGCCTCCATCACAGGCTTGAAAGCCATTTTATAGCTAAGACAAACTAGAATTATTCCTATTTATGATTAAGTTTGTTTATCAATGGTTGGGCTATGCTCTATCTGCAACCTTAACTACAAAGGGTTTTGTACAGTCCATTCCAGGAGACAGTAACCATGCCTTTTTTTTTTTATAAAAGGTTATTATGATCACATTGTTATAACTACCTTGTTCTGACTACTTTGCAACTATGTCTTTGTTTCAGGAAGTTGTTATAACGAACATGCTATGCTTCTGTTCTGCTTCTGTAATACTGCCTATTTGCCTGTCAAGGCTCCCATTTTGAAACCCCTTACTCCTAAACTACAAAATCCCTTATCTTACCCATGTCGATGCTGAACTCTTGGGCCCTGCCATTAGGGAGAGACAATCCTTGTACACAAATGAAAAAACTTGCTTTAATTAATTGCTTGTTTTAGTTAATTTGGCCATGATTTGGGTCAGTGGTCTTCTCACATCTATGGGATTAACAAGAACTCCTAAAATTATGACTCATGGAACATGGTGAAAGAGGAGGGAGAGAGATTATACAGAACAGGAAGATCAGGACATCTACTGTGAGATAGTGCCTTCTAGACATGACAGGAAATCTTCACCCATAAAATCTCAACAATATGGTTGCTTAATCAAGACCAGCCAGTGACAACACCAGTTGACATGACAAAGCAGATTTAGAAAATCTCACAAAAGTCTTCCTCTAAATGAAGAACTACAGGCATTTAATGACTTCTGAGAGAGAAAGAATCAGTCTGTCCTCAGTAAGTATCCAAAAACCAAGTGGCCAGCCCTAAAAAGATAAACATATGTGCAACCTATGTAGATAAAACAAATTTATGTATGAAATAAAACAAATTAGGGCATGAATTTGAGTGTGCCACGGGAGGGTTGAGTGTGGGATGGGGCCATTATATGAATACAGTACACATACATTAAATTTAAAAAGAATTTAAAAAAGAAATGAGTATATACTGATGAACAAAAGAAGACTATTTTCTTTTATGTTTTGTTTTCATGCCCTACTTAATTTTTTATTTTTTAATTGAATATTTCATTTATTTACAATGCAGATGTCATCCCCTTTCCCCATTTCTCCTCCCTAGAACCCCCTACCCTATCCCCCCTCCTTTATGCTTTTATACCATTTTGATTACATGCATGTATTAAGGTCAGTTCTAGGTTGAGGGTCTAGCAATACAATAGATGCAAATAGTCAAGGAACAAACAATACAATAAACACAAATAGTCAAAGAAAAAACAAGGCATTAAACCCAATTATGTGAACACTCCCATGATTACGGTTTCTAAAGGCTTATCAGGATGAACAAAGTATCTGAGCCTATTTTCCTGTCTTAGCCCAAGGACATTTTCATGTCTGAGGCCTACTTCCTTGTTCTAGCCTAAAATTTAGATTCCTGTCTGAAATTACTTCTTTGTTCTAGCCTAATATTTAGGTTCCTGCCTGAGATTACTTCTTTGTTCTAGCCTAATGTCAGATTACTGCCTGAAGCCTACTTCTTTGTCCTTGGCCCATATCAGATTCTTGCCAAGCAGCCCCAAAGGCTCTCTGCCTCTCCCCATTTTTAATTTAATTAACAAGACTGAGTCTGTTTTAGGTCATTCTCACAAGAATGCCTTCCTTACCTGTCATGGAATATGCATTATCAAAAGCAATGCACTTCTGTCTTAGGTTGGTAAGGCTCTGTGCAGAATCTTACCCAAAGAGGACCATTTTCAATGCAGGCATGAGCCTTTGACACTGGGGGCTTGCAAATGTTGAAACTCATCCAGAATTGCTGACTGATGCTGCGGACTTACATTCCTGCTACTGCAGAAATATGCTATCTTCAGGTGAGGGCTGACCAAATTAGTGGGGGCAGGACTTACATAGGTCTTCCTGATGATATTATCTGCAGAGTGCAGGGAGGCAAGGACTAGAGAAATCTGGAGTGGAGCTTAGTTTCAGGGTCAAGTAAGGCCTTGGGGTAGAGCACAGACTCGGGGTCAATGGCTCACCAGCTGTGAACCTTCACTGTATCTAAACTGCCTGATTTGGGGAAGTGTGTGACTCCCTAAAACCTTGCTCTCTTGATTTGAAAAATGAGGCTAAGAACAACCCTGCCTCTCAAAATTGCTGAAAGGACAAAAGAAAATGTTTCATGAACATATGCTATTGTCACTATTAGTGACATAGAATTGAAACAAACAGCTGTCTAGTATTGCCCTGTAACAGATATATGCACACATCCATTCTATGAAGAGTAACATCACGAAGGCTCACACATGTTTCAATCCATCCTACTCTGTAACAGAGGAGCCTGTTCTGGTTAGAGGCTCACAGGTGCACAGATGACATTGGTAGGTGTACTAGCTGGTTTTGTGTGTCAACTTGACACAAGCTGGAGTTACCACAGAGAAAGGCGCCTCCCTTGAGGAAATGCCTCTATGAGATCCAGCAGTGAGGCATTTTCTCAATTGATGATCAACAAACGCTGGGAGGGCTGTGAGTGGTGCCATCTTGAGCTGGTAGTCTTGGGTTCTATAAGGAAGAAAACTGAGCAAGCCAGGGGAAGCAAGCCAGTAACTAACATTCCTCCCTGAATGTAGAAGTGTAGCTTAATAAACCCTTTCCTCCCCAACTTGCTTCTTGGTAATGACGTTTTGTGCAGGAATAGAAACCCTGACTAAATAGAATACATGGTAT